AATTAAACAGACCACCAATCTGGAGGTATGATTTTTTTTATTTATTTATAAAGCGAACGCTATTCCTTAGAACTGGGTATTGAGATAGCACTGGCTGACTGAGTCGTGCCAAAATCGTAAACAATTCTAAATGCCAGACCAAAACAAACAATTTAGCAACAATGAATGTCAGTAAAAACTGTCCGTAATGATTATAGTCATGACAATGAGATAAGAATTGTCTAATTTCAAAACAATTGCCGTGACAAATATTTACATACTTTCTTACACGTACTTAAGTATATTATGACGCTTTATGATCCATCAAGGGCATAAGCCCATAGATGTTTAGGATATAAGCCCATCCACCTTTTTGTCTGTTTGATGATCACTCATTCAAAGCCTAGGTGCTTTTCAAACTCATTTGAACATGCTTGTACATATCAAGTTTTCTTGATTGATACTTATGTATTTCGTTATAAAAGCTTTTTGTTGGCGCCCTCAATTGCCGTCTAAGATATGATAAGCTCCAATTTGTGAAATATTTTTTTGCGCAACCCCTACATTTTTAATAATATAGTATGAATTAATATAATTATTATTATGAGTCATTTCAATTTTATTCAGTTTCTATATAAATAGATTTTAATTTTGCTGAATTCTACGATGCGTCAAAATTCAACAAAGGTCATGAGTAAAAGGGTTTTTTTTTTGTTTTGTTAAAATGACGAACTGAGTTTTCCAAAAGTGCCAGCCCAAATTAAACAATTAAGCAACAATGAATGTCAGTAAAAACAGCCCATAAAGACAATGGGATACGATTTGTCTAATTACAGAACAATTGCCGTGACAAATATTTACATGCTTTCTTACATGTACTTAAGTATTTTATGACACCTTATGATCCATTAAGGGAATGGATAAGCACATGCACCTTTTTGTCTGTTTGAAGGTTAAAGAAAGAATAAAAATACGTATGTGGAAAGAAATATAATTTAATTTACTACTAACACATTCAAATCCTTGGTACTTTTCAAACTCCGTTACGCCGCGAAGTCTCCCCAAGCCCTTACATTTTTAGTAACATACATAAGTATGTATTTCAATTATATTTCAATTTCTATATGAAGTTGAAGAATTTCTACGGAATGTGAAAATTGAATGTAAGGTCATTCTTTTTCGTTTTGTTAATATCAATCACTTTTCCATAGACAAGAAATTTGTTAGATTCTAATTTTTATACAATTTCCCCATACCATTATACACCTATAATTGTGCGGATGATAGTGGTTCATTACTTTATTCACTGATCCTGCTCAGTTATTAAGTACTTTTTGTTTAGCTTCCAGTTTCCCATACTAGTATATATATGTATGTATAACAATTGACTATTCATCCGTAATCATATTTCACAAAAAAGGTGGTTCATCCCATTCAACTGATTGTCCATTGGTAAGATCAAAAGGAATTTGGAAAGTGATTTGCTTAATGCCGGTGGCACTAAATTTAATGTAATATCTTTCAAGCAGTGCAATAGATTGATGACAAATTGAAAGAAACGGTAGTTTCAAAATTCGGAGGGTTTCTTTAGTGCGTCTCTGTTCATTAAAAACAAACCTCCCAAAACTAAATATGTACATATGAAAATAAGAATTTGATCTAATTATATAATTTTGTAATGCTGAAATTGGAAAAATTCAAATCGGAAACTTTAGTTGTCTATTATCTATCGCAATTTCTATTAATTGATAGGCCAACAATTTCGGATGATCACTTTTGTCACTTTCTATCTTTTTGCAGAAGACGGAAGTGCAGCTCTCTCCCCCAATACATTTATCGAAAGACCAAATAACAAGAAGAACTGTTTACATTTAAGAGAAAATAACAAAAGCGAAGTCCCCGAGCAAAACAAAAAGCGTGTTATTTGTTGATTTTATTTGAGTGCGCGGAATTTTTTGTCGGGCTTTTTGCGTCATACTTTAAAATATTTGTTAAAAGCGAGCAACAAAAACTGTGCCAGCAAAGCCGCTGCCGTCGAAGTCATAGTCGTAGCAATCATAACCTCCGCATCCGTATCTGCCTCAGCCCCCCGTTATCAAAGACAATACAGGCCCAGGCCGAACGCGAACGCGAACACTCGACATTTGTTTCCGTTCGGGAGATCGGAGATCGTATGACCGCGTCCATCAACAGTGCTCTCAAAAACATACAAGCACTCATAGCTGTACACACAGACATACCTCTGTGTATATATAAGCGAGCGGTATCAACGTACTGTGCATTCAGCGAACAATCAACGCAGCAAGCAGCAACAGCTCCGACGTTTTCAAAGATACATTTTTAGTCGTTACGCGTCTCTCGTGGTTCGTAGTCGTCGTCCAGATCGTAGCGCAACGAAAATAGTCAAGTGCAAGTGAATAATATAGACCAACAATCGTATATACGAATATACATACATACATAGTTCTTGAACAATTAAGAGAAAAGGTGCAAACAAAAATCACTTCGATGTCGATTAATTCGCCGTTACTGTTAAAAAACTCGGACCTGCATTGAACAGGCAAAACAATCGATATAACCCAAAAGCAAAATCAACAACAAAAGGTTTTTCCGATTTTTTTGGTTCTTTGTGTTTTGTTTTACGCACGTGCGTAAAAATTCAACTTCAAATCAACAGTTGGCAGTACAGTTTGAGAGCTACTGCTGAAAACTGTAACAAATAAACAATCGCATTCATCTTTAATTTACTTCAAAAAAAGAAGGAGTAAAATCAAGAGCAGAAACAACAATCGCGCGTTAGATTAACATTTCAGTCAAGTAAAGCAACCACACGACAGACCCAGGCGCATTACAACAACAATTTCATTAATTGGGCTTAGGCCGTTGTATGGGTAAGTTAATAAATGCATGAACTTTTGTTCGTACATACATACATGCATACATATGCATGTACATACTGTCTGCGCAATTTTAATAGACGTGCAGTTAGTTTTAATTAATACACGAACATGTTTTTAATAGAATTGCGTCGCAAAAACATGAAATAAGCATAATACTTGTACTTTTATTGAGAAATAAAATGTATGTATGTAAATAGTAGTAGTTTCCCAAGAGACATATCAAGTACACATTCATACGTACTTGATGTGTATGTATGTTTGTATGTGTAGTTCAGTTATTTGTTTTGGTCGTTTTTCATGTGAATTGCACATTGCCAAGCTAGACAGACAGGCCGACTCTGGCACTCAATGCTGATTCATTTTCAATTAGCAACAATTACAATACATGCATGCCAAATTGCCCACAGTCAGACACAAAAGCTAATGTACGTCTGTATAAACATACATATGCACATACGTATGTATGTACTATGTATGTGTGTTGTTCGCCGAACTGAAACCGAATCATATTACACACGACGCAATTAAATAAACCTCTAATCAAAAAAGCAGCTGGCAACCAAAAGTGCCCGCATGCCTGAAGTAGATAACTGTATAGGTGCGGTGTGTTGCTTGTGGCTCCAAAACTGTAACACGGGCGTTCAGTGTCTATGCATATGTATGTACATATGTATGTATGCATGTATATACATTTATACATTTGTATGTGCTTCATTTATAACTGTCCATGCCAGATTGTGGGTACGCACACGTGCCCATGTTCATAACAATGTAGCAAAAGTTTGCGCACCCCGCCTTTGGCCCTGCCCCCTTTTGCTCAATGTTTAACGCGGAGGAACTATTTTCTGTCCGACGACAAATTATAATTAACTGGCCATGTTATGTGACTTTGCCCCTCACTATCAGAGCAGCTGTAGACGCGTGATATAAAAAATTGTGTTTAATAAGCAGGAGATAAGCGTGGTATTTTTATTTGTTTGACCTTATTGTATTTGAATAGATTTCTGCCACGTCTGCGATCCCACAATTTGAGTGGCAAACACAAATTGAAATGCATACATACAAATCAGTGTATGTATGTATGCATGTACATACATACATACATATGTATGTATGTACATACATACATATGTTAAAATTGTACAGCATTTAATTGACATGGTTTACCTGCAGCCGGTAATGGCAAAAATCTGTTCCAACGATTATACCTGAGAAAAACGAAGAGAAAAGCGTTACACGTGAGCGAGCAGGCTTAAGACGCTAGTCCTACACTCGCGGTCTACTATTTGGACAGGTATTAATTAAAAACAGAACGGCAAAATTGCATATCATACGTTAATTCTGAATAAACTTAGGTAGTTTCTTGAAATTTGATAATTTAATGATTTAAAAATATAACAAATTTCCAACTTTTTCACAAGTAATTTTCTATATTCTGTAAATGTGAATAAACCAAACCACAATCTTTTAAATTTCATAATCACTTTGGGATGTTAGGGCAATAATAAGCTAAAAAGGTTTTCCCCTAACAGAATGTTCCTATGGCAATTTTGAAGAATATTGCGGCTATACTTAGTTATATGGGTTTTGACTCGTATATGCCAAGTTTATTGTTCCTAACTAGTAAGTTGTTGTAGTTCAAAAGATCTCGATGATCTAAGGGATTCGTTTCGTCAAAAAATGGAGTCATTTACATTCCGACATTTTAGTATACAGAGTACGGAAGTGGAGTCCGGACAATATAAAACAACAAATATTTAGCAAAATAAAAATCTTGACGCTTATGCTTAAATGAATGCATGTTGATTTTTCATTTATGCGGACTACAACTTATATATTTTTTTTTCTCACACCACCAAAACAGATCTTACCAAACCAACAACGAAATTCGGAGACGAGCCGGACCTCCTGTTCAAACGAGCGCAGGGCCGGATTAGTCTGCTTAACACTGGAGCCGCCACCGCCGCAGCCCAGATACACGCAATCTTGAGTCCAAGTGCAAACGCAACGGAACAATTCGCCAACATTCAACTAGAAGCCAACGCAACGTTCAATGACTGTGAAAGTGGCTACGTGCCCACGGTTGGCCGCTGGGGCGCTGAATGGCCAAGTTGACTCGCCGCACTGCAAGTTGATGGAGCGCAGGGCGGCTGCGCGACGGGCGCCAGCGGCGGTGCTGTTGAAAGCGCCAAAGCTGGTGCTGTGGGGGTCGAGTGTTCAGCGGCGGTATCGGTGCGTGGCATTGGATTGACTACGAACACCGTTACTGAACAAGCTGAACCGGAGCAATTGTTGGATGCTGCAATATTGCCAGCTACACCCCCTACATCCAGCGATGATGATGATGATGATGATGGCGAGTCGGAGCTTAAGCCCGAGTCGCAGCTGGATGAGGAGGAGGAGGAGGAAGACTCCGACGCTGACAATGCAGCTCCACGCCAAAGTGATTTGACATCAGTGGCCAAGTCGGAGCGTTACTTCGGCATTGTCCAGTTATTGGATCAGCAACAACGCCAGTGGGTCTGTTCGGGCAGCCGTCGGCACACGCCTCTTGCCGTGGCCGATGGCTACAATCTGACCGCCTTTAATCAAATCAATGGTGTATGGCCACTTGGCCATCCGCTGCCACTCCCCGACTGGGAGAGTGGCGAGACGAAGGGTGTGCTACGCTTTGACAACGTTTGGCAGTACGAGGACTTTAATGCGATTGTGGAAACGGCCCTCCAGCGTATGCTGGAGGAAACGCACTACAACACAGTCAATCTGTTCATCGATTTCTATCGCAGCTTTAAACGCACGCGTCGCTCGGATCTCCGATCCTTTTTCCAATTCTATGATGTGCCTATCAATAGGCGTGATCACATGTGTGTCTCACTGGCCTTTGAGATCATGGCGCGACTTGTGGAGCTCTTTCCTGTGCTTGCCCACTACCTGTATGTAGTGTCATGCGAGGAGCAGGTGGTGCAGCTGAGCGACTACATCGAACTAGACGAGGAGTACGGTTTGAACTCGGCGGATGCTGCTGTTGAGAAGGAGCATGCCATGGCTGCTATGCGCATTGCCATTGGCGAGCGCGAAGGCGTAATGATTCTAGATCCGGGGTATCATGTAGGTCGTGCCGTCACCGTAATGCATGATCAGAGCTATCCGCATACAGGTAAGAAGTTGTGTAAGGCGATAAATGGTCGATGGTGAAATCTTAAAACCATTACTCTCCACAGGTTGGTTCAATCAGTCGAAGGAGCCGCATCTGCAGCGTGATTACTGCTACAGTTATAGTAGCTACAGCGAAAAGTTCGTCGAATGGAAGGAGCGTGAGATTCGCGGCGACGAGGCCAACTTTAAGACCTCCCTTGTCTATGTGGCTCAGGAGTACATGACTGCCATTGATGTGACAGTGCGTCGAAATCTTGTTTACAACTTCCGTTCTCTATTGTCACGCGATGCCAAGGGACGCGTTTACGCAGGAATATACTTTCCTCTTGTGGCCAATGTGCACGAAGCACATATGACGCTTTTTTATGATGGTCCGAATGAGCAGCGCGTTAAGGCCAAACTGATGTTTAGCGCTTTTAAAGGAGGGAAGGTAAGAGAAGGTGTCTTCTAACTGCTTATAACTTAACATCCCTTGAAAAGTTGATTTTATATATGACCAAATTTAATTGGACGCACTATGTATAGAGTAACACTGATATTCATCGTGAATACTAAGAATTTTACAAAACATATATAATGCTTTTGGTAATGTCGTAACTTTTGTTAAAAAACGTGAGGATTTTGATAAGCTTATTAATTATTCAATATTAAACTGTATTAGGTAAACAATTTTTGTTACATAAATTTGTTTTAATGCCAAATATTTAAAATTTTTGTTAAAATGAGATTCCTCTCTATAACAAAATATATGTATGTATATAATTCCACCAAACATTGAAATTGTACTATGTAATATCTGTATCAGAGGCCTTAGTCGGACAAGCATTATTATTATTTTCTTAGTATAAAACGATTTTCTAATGGTAAACAACGCAAATGTTTATTCTATCCGCTTTAAATTTCAGATGCCCGACTACGTAACCCAACATTTTGGTAAATTGGCGCCACAGTTAAATATGTCCCAGCATGAGCTCGCTGACCTATGCAAAACGCTGGCTGAGGTCGTCACTGACCAAAATTTTATTAGCCAAGTGCTGGCTATCAACGATGATATTGGTAACATGTCCTTGGAGAATTGACAGTTAAAGGAGCCTAAGGACGTGGACCCGAAGATGTCGGCAACCAAAAACAACGCTGACGCTTCCGTCACCACAACTTAGAAACTAAAATTATAATTGAATTTCTGATAATATATACATGAACATAGCTTAAAAAAACTTACATTCGAAAAGAAAATGTGGTGTCAAGTATCCAAAAATTTTCAAATTATGTATGTATAATACAATGAACCATATTCACACACTTGTATCTATAAATTATATAATTTATACACAGCTTAAGCAATATTTTATTCAATTTAGATTTGTGCTTTAAATCTGACATTTATAAGCCGTGCATATATACTTATGTAATAGGTGATTCAAATTGATTAGATTCCGTTAAACCGGACACATTTTGTTTAAAAATATTCAAACTATTTAAACAGATTAGTTTAAACTTTTTCAACCAATTAATTATGTATATTTATAACTTATGCACTGTAATGGATGATATTCTGTTTCAAGTAACACAAATAAAGTAAAACCGCAAAAATAATATATTTGTGTACACTCCCTAGACGTTGCCTTATCTTTAAACAACGTGAAGACTGACTTCCAAATGTAATAGAAGACTATGTACCTTTGCACATTAGATTTGTTCAAAGTCTGTCATCTTTTAATAGGCAGTAAATTTACGTTGTGTTTTTCCATTGAGTTTTCAAAGATTTGCCTTTTGTGTTCATTAATTTTTATAGCCTTTACCCAAAGGGTGTTTTTTTATAGATTCCGTAATTCTTGGAATTTTGGAATTTTTTCAATTTTGGTAGGTACATCCAGTTAGTACTAATGTGTCCGTTTGCTAAGTTTCATCAGGATATGTCAATTGTGAAGAATGTTATAGCCATAAATAAAATCTCTGGTCATGCGCTGCCTGCAGCTCTGCCGGCAAGATTACAAATTTCAAATTTTCAACCTACCTGTAGGCTAAATGTGTAAATGTACATACTTTTAATCATCAAAATGTTCTTAATATTTATTCAGACAGGTCCTTTGTCCGCATTTTAGGCCATCGTTATATAGGGAGTATTTTTAAATTGGAATGGACTTACTTTTAAAACACGAAATGGGTCTGAGAAATTAATCTCGCGTCAATTATTTCACCGAGGAGAGTTCTAGCTATGAAAAGCTAGAAAAAGTTAGGAAATAAAGGAAATGAAATTACGATGGTAAAATGAACAATGGACGTTTTGCACTCCAATACGAATCTCGCAAAGATCATTCCGACGCTATAAATAAGTTGAATATGCAATATCGTCATGTGACATAAAACATTCTTTGCCATGTCCTTGGAACTGTTCCTAAAAAATCACCAAACACACAAGGAAACAAAATATGAATTAAAAGCAGTAGGCTGCAACTTTGACGTTACTTCATGTGATAAATTATGTTTTGCAAAAACAAAACATTAATCATTTTTCAGGATGGTATCGTGGAATTTCCTTTGGAAGCGTGTGCTACTCAAACAGCTCAGGTAATTTTTTATTATTCGACGCTGCATACAAAACGGCTTACTTTACTTCGATTGCGCTGCTTGTAAAGCAGTGAGCTTTATACAGCTAGCGTCTATCGTTATCGATGGTGGCTTTTCACAGCTGGATAAATCAGCTGTTTAGTGGCCACGGCATATTATTGAACCAAAACACCTAACAGACAGGGCGCAGATGAACAAAGCTAGTCCTTTGTGTACAAATTAATACAAAGGCCAAAGTAAAAAACAAAGACGTGCCGGCCGAGGTGCTGATATCTGCATTCTGCGGTAACCTAGAAATAACCTGAAAGAACGAAAAAATATTTCATATAACCTAGAATAATACAAATCGTTCTACAGTGAAGTGCGCGCGCGGATTATCGTTTAGTCTGCCTTTGAATTTCTCACCGTTCGGTTGTGTTATTGCACGGCGTCGAAACCGGTTTATTTTTGGACGTGACTGCTGCGGCGCGAGTTTGTTCAATTAAAATTGTTTACTTTAACTGAAAAGGTGTCAATATTAGCATAGTCAAGATTCATTTAGCATTGCATTTCTGCAACAGTGCATATATGTACATGTATAGTATACATTTATGTGTGTTGTGCATTCTTATTTATATATACACGTACATATGTGCAAGGTCTTGCAACTGCCGGGCAATGGCCATGTGCCCTATAACTACAAAAGAAATAGAAAGTTCCACTTTGAGCTTGGCCGGCCAAAAATGCTGCGCTTTTAGTTTTTATTTTTGTGTTGACGGAAGTCTCGAACTCCGAATTGTGTGTCAACGCAAACACATTTCATACACATACCCACCACCAACCCACACATACGTACATTGTATATTTACATACACACAAGCAGACAGCCATGTTGGTAGCCCTCTTCGCACCTGTTACTACCTCTGCTAACCGTCTTGACTTCATATGCTGTCTGTATGTTTGTCTTTTCTATCTTTAACAATTCTTTTGGCCCCAATCAATTGGCTCTTAAACTTTCATTCGTTGCTGTTCGTTGTGTAGCTTGCTTTGGCTCTGTGATTTGAATCTTTTGCTTAGTTTACATTTTTTCAACTTTGTGTTTGTTTTGTTTCATTTTAGAAATTCACTCTTTTCTCGGTCTTAATTTATAGCGCTATTTCGCGTTGCTCAATTAAACCCTTGTTCCTCAGTAATTATTTTGAATTTACACTTCCCAGACCCTAACCTCAATATACATAATAAACCTGGCTTTTAAGTGTGCACTTAAGTTTAGTGTCGCCGAGCTATTATTATTTTCTAAAGTACTCAACCATTAATTGGTAGTTACTCATACAACTACCCGTTAGCAGTTTCACGCTGAAGGCGCCAAAGTTCAATTGCAAAGTGCATACAGGCATAGGTAAATATTTGAAAAAAAAAAAAATACTTAAACTCAAGCGTGCAATTGTCGCACTATTGATACTATCTCTATACAAAATGTGTAAATAATACCCAAACCAAATCTTGAAAAACCGATAGTTATATTAAAGTGTCGTAGATTTATTGCACTTTGTCCATCTGTTCGACACCAGGTGACGCCGCCACTCATTACTTGAACATAACACTTAAACATAATCAGACTGCACTGAGGCTCAAATTCCAGTTCTTTTAGCTGGCATGTCCACACCGTTATCAGCAGCAGCGTCTTATCATTTGCGTCTGGCTACGCTTGAATTTGACACGTCATAATGTATAATCTGTATGTTACCCGCATTTTGACCTCCACAGCTACGGCATATTCCGCTCTCAGGCCACCTTCAATATGTTGGGGACGCTGTTCACACTTGCCCTCTTAGCCCTGATGCTTTGCGGCTTCATCTTCTCCAAGACCACCAAAGGTATACCCAAGTCCTGGTATGAGTGGAAAACAGAATTTCGATACCAGTATATGGGCATTGTGGGACTTATACACGATGCGCAATACGCGAAGCGCGATCGCGTGGGTAAGTCAAGTTAATACAAATTATTGGTTATGCAATTCCAAATAAGTATATATCTCTCATGCTGTCTATTTAAGCATTGTACAAGCAACCGGATCGGATTGCTGTCATCACCGGCGGCAATCGAGGCATTGGTTTGCGCATTGTAGAAAAATTATTGGCCTGCGACATGACTGTCATAATGGGTGAGTCGGACTTGAACTTTAGGTTGCACGTAAGTTACTTGTTTTAGATCAAAGCCCAGCTTAAATGCCCCTTGAATTAGTGATTCCACATACACTTGGCTCGTTTTGTAAAAAACGCGGCACAATTGTTGCGCGATACGTACGTGCGATGCATGAGCAATGAAATTCAACTTAGTCTGGCTCTCATTGTTGTACCTTTGTATTTAGCAGCTTTTATTTAATTTCATTTTTTTTGTTAAGCGGTCTGGCTAGGCAAATTATATTAAAAATTAGTATATTGCACAATTATTGATTGATTCATAAATTAAATAAAAAATTAGTATATTGCACAATTATTGATTGATTCATTAACTTCATTATTAACATTTTGCTTACAACGGTACAGGGACCGTACAACGGTACATTTCCGTTTAAAGTTGGTTTTAAAACTAGCTAAAAGAAACTTACCACCATCGTGGAGAAGCTGACATTCTGGTTTGAATATTCAACTCGCAGCCAAAAGTATGCTACTAATTTTTTTTCTTCACTTAAGCGGCTCTTCCCCGGTGTACTGCATGGTTAAAACTAGCATTGATGAGTGCCAAGCAGGCATGCTTATCAAACTCTTAAATACAACAGAAACACATTCCGTTTACATTTTGTTACACTAATTAATTAATATTATAGTAAAAACAAGTAGAGTGTATGTACACGAATTTGATTAAACACGGTTTGAAAATTTAAAATTCTATATGTATATTGTTACTTGACTTTTTCCATTTATTCAAAAATAGCCCAAAATAAATAAATAAATACACACACAGCTGACAAACAGCTAGAAATACAATTACAAGTCCAAATTTCCGGGTATTCAATTTTAATGAATTAAAAATATAGAGAAAATATAAGATTACCGATTGTATAAGAAGAGCTAGAGTCACCAAACTTTGTATGCAGGTTGTCCCAGGTCCGGGAAAGTACAAGTTTATGGTTTTTTCCGATATGTTCTTTTTTTACACGGTCTTTATTTACTCGGGTTTGATTTAACACGGTTTGAAAATTAAAAATTGTTTATATTGTTGCACGACTTTATTCCATTTATTCCAAAAGACAAAAGCTGACAAATGGCTAGAAACCATTATTATATGGGTCGTTATGCACATTATTTACGTGATTTCATAAATTAAAAATATGTATGTCATATATCTCCAGGTGTCCGCGATCCACAAAGTGCAGAGGCCGCCGTGCGGTCCATTGTCGATATTAGTCAGAGCAGTGGGAAGCTCATATGCGAGCAGCTCGACGTGGGCGACTTGAAATCCGTGCGAGCCTTCGCACAGCGCATAAAGGAGAAATACACAAAAATAGATTTGTTGCTAAACAATGCCGGCATTATGTTTGCGCCCTTCAGGCTGACCGCCGACGGCTACGAGTCGCATTTCGCCATCAACTACTTGGGACACTTCCTGTTGACGCACTTGCTCTTGCCACAACTGAAGGCGTCCGGTCGTTCCGGCAGGAACTCCCGTATTGTGAACGTGTCGTCTTGTGTGAACCTCATTGGACGTATCAATTATAAGGACATTAATGGACTGTAAGTAATACATTTTAAAATATGCAATAATAAGCAATGCAGAATGCTTAGGTTTTAAAAATTAAATGGTCCGTAACACTTATATCGTCATTATTGTTGTACATATTTAAAGAACCAAACGAATTTATTTGAACTGTGAATCGGCTCGACGATCATCACATACATACTATACATATATTAGTAAAGGTCTATAATATGCGATATACTGCCATTTATTTCTGACTTAAGGAAAAGCTTTTAAAGATTGTTCAGAAGCCCTTTTAATTAATTTTAATTTCTACAATAGTTTCCAAAGCTATGTGTGATGTGTTCAAACAACCAACAAATTTGGGTTAGCTTTTCATTGAAGAAAACTAATCAATAAATTAGAAGAAAAGTAATAGGAGCTTACATCCATACTCGTACATATGAAATAGTAATTGCAATTATTTTTGTTGTTGCCTTTCAGCAAATATTATTATCCCGGCACTGCCTACAGCCAATCGAAACTCGCCCAAATACTCTTCACACGTCATCTGCAACATCTGCTGGATGAGCAACAGGCGCCTGTCCAGGTGAACGTCGTCCATCCGGGTATTGTGGACACAGATCTGTTTGAGCACTCGGCAACCACTTCGGTGCCCTTTATGAAGAAGCTTTTCTTCAAGACACCCGAGCGAGGAGCACGCACCGTCGTGTATGCGGCTATTGATCCAGCTATCGAAGGCCAGGGCGGCACATATCTGAGCAACTGCGGCAAGGGTCCAATGCACGGGGATGCCAAGAAGCCGGAGAAGTGTGAGAAGTTCTTCAAATACTCATGCGATTTGCTGAACATCAAACAGTATGGCAATGGTGAAAACTGAAACTTCGTGCTCTTTATTTAAGCAAAACAAATGAAACACTCAACCTCTTGTACTCCTCCATTTTTTTATAACCCTACCCTTCTGTCCTCGTGGTGCAACGTACATTTATGATCGCTATTTTTGTAAAGCATTTTTGCAATACACTTACAAACTATTTTTATACATGTGTATGTAGAAACGACTGGAGTTTTAATTAACTTGTCTTCGTGACGATAGGCATTAGGTTTGTTTTTCGTTTTTTGTTTTTACTTGACTTGTTACTAAAACGCAATTAAATTAACAATAATAACAACAAAAACAACAGACACAATGCAAGCATAACAGAAAACGAACGGCGGCTGCTTAAAAGAGAAAAACTGCAACAATAACAACAAGAACATTAGCCCCCACATCAGCTGTTATATGTCAACTTTTAAAAGCTACAGCAAACATTTTAATTTTGTTGCCGAACACAATGAACGATTAACATTTGCAATGTGCGAGTCGCTTGCAACGGAATTTTAATCGACTTGCGGTAGGTGTATCATCCAAAACAGCAACAGCAACAACAACAACATCAAGTTTGCTGTCACTTTGCGCTCAAGATGAACTTCAAAGCTAACGACGCTCCGTCAAATTAAGGCATACGGAATCTTTGAATGTGTGAAGCCGTGAAGCCCGTCAGCTGCTGATTTTGGCTTCGGATTTACGGTGGGCTGTCATCAATCAAAAATATCAATGGACATGTTACGCTCACTTGGGTCCCAGGTTGTCAGTGTCACATATAAATGAAGTCATCTCTGCCTTGCATGTCTGATGGGCATTAAGGCGATGATTGGAATCGGGTGGGCTTGAGCATGAGAGTGATGCACAGAGTGCTGATAATTAGCGATTGGGGGCAGTCAAAACGGGAGCGGTTACCATATCCATAACTGAATAAGTTTGTGGCTTGTGGGCTGTGGTTGCGAAGGAATCCATTGAGTTTGCGTCACAGGTGTAGCTAACTGGTACTCAATATTACCGTACAAAAGGTGGGTTAATAAGCTAAAGTTCAATGGATTTTTTAAATCAACTATATTATGGTCGTGCTCTGTCGTAACAAATACACCTTTTGATAGATGGTGGAAACACAGCTAAGAATAAATTTCTCCACGAAACTGAGCCAGCTATACTATACTATACTTATTTTCTCTTCCAGCACTAGAAGAGAGTCCTATGCTATACAACACAACGTATTTCGATATTTTAGTGACTTCACTGATCGAAATTGTTATTTCGAATTTTGACAAAAGGGTCCGTATACATGTCCATCCGTCGATCAATTTGAATAAAATTTAAGAAATTTTCAGCTATACTTGTAAAACTAGGAATACTATACTACGCATGTACTCTTTTCTTATCCGTACACAGACCAAGAAATCGCCTATAACTACATTGCTTATAACGTTATATTGGTAAAAAACAACGAAATTCTGATGACTTATTTGGCTTGCTATACTGTAAACCGTTTAAATTAATAAGCGATCTGCCTTTAATGACGAAACTTCCAAATATAATCGAAAAAATCGTAGAACTAGAGCAGGGCAGAGCTTGTTGACACACATATTGTTTGTGCCCAATACAGTTATTGCAAAAGTATTGTAGTTTTCCCCTTATATACTGTACATACAAGTACTTGTATGTTATTGTGGAATTCGGTGTGTGCTGATGAGCTGTTGAGTTACAACAAAAATATATCTGTTCAACTGATAGTTGTATATACTTACATATACTATAGTACACTCAGCACTTTAATAAATACCCTACGTGACCATGTCAATTTAAAAACAAGAGAGAACGCTACAGTCGAGCAAGCCCGACTGTGAAATACTCTCTATATGATCAGATATAGTATACATCTAATTCTGTTTTCACACGGTAGATTGGTTCCTAAAAATTTCGGGTATATGCAAAATGGAATAAAGTCATGGAACCATATATAAAATTTTTAATTTTCAAACCGTGTTAAATCAAAACCGTGTAAAAACCTTGTAAAAACAGAATTAGGTGTAATCAAGAAGTTTCCTAAAATCTAAGTCCCACGCTAAAATTGGATGGGAAAACAAGGACTTCTGGAATACAAACTATTATTGTGTTTGATTTAACTAAAAAGAAAACGCACGTGCGGCCCCGGCAGATGGATATTTGCATAACGAACTGAAGTGCGTTTGCATTTCTTATCACACTCTGTTCCATTCTTGTTTTCATATTAAAGTTTGCAACATTTGCCTCGTTTGTTGATTGAAACATTTTCTTCTTAATAATATTTTCATCTACAAGTATGTTTGAGGCTCTCAAGTTGTAAATGGTTAACAAACAAATATATATGAGAAAAAAAAGAAATAGGAGAAAAGCGAACTATTATTTTTTGAAAAATATGGCATCAATATTAAAAACAATAAAAAAAGACACTTAAAAAATTAAATAACATAATTTGTACATGTGTGCATTAAACGTATTTTAATTCTGTTTGAATCAAGAAAGTTAAAAATATATCGAGATTAAAACAAACTTACTTGAGAGTGGATGTTATTAAACAAATTTTTTTGAATATTTTACACAGTGTCAAGCATATAGGAAAGAAAAATAACTCATTCTATTTATGATTAAAGGGGAGTAATCAACGCAATCCATGAGCTAATCATATTAATAATACATACATATGTCCAATGAGATTCTTTACAATCTAAACAGCCGCATACCATGCATTACAGAAGCACAATGCGGATTAACGTTGTGCTGAGCGCCACCGGATCGTCACACCACCGGCAGCTAGCCACAATCCAATTAACCTTTCGACATTTGCGACAGGCGGCAGAGGTCTCGGCAACCACGGCGGGGCAGCCACCAAAGCAATCGCCAGCCGACAGACGTCGGCTTCTAGATAATGACCACGCAATATGTTGCACTAACGTGCGCATAAATCACGCGCAAATGTATCTGCTGTATATACATATGTATGTACATTTGTACTCGGATGTACACAGATTTGTAGAAACGACCATACTAAGCGCATTTAACTACGTGCGTGGCACTTGTAATACGATAGTTATTCTCACTTACTTGTACTATCTGGCAGTTGTGTCTGTCCCGCCAGCCCCAAGCGGATGCGGTGGCCACTGCAATTAAAACACTCAACAGCTCTGTCCCAGTCCTAGTCGCAGTTGCAGTTGCAGCCGAAGCGGCGACTTCTTGACAAGTTCAGGCTGTGGGCAATGGCAGAGGCAACGGCGGCAGCTGCTAAGTTTAATAAACCTATCAACCGCAGACGCAACCGCAACCGCAACCATAAAGTCAACCAAACCAACAACAAGAACAGCTGCTGCTTCTGAGTAGTCTGGTAGCAGCAATGCTGGTGATTTTGACCATGTATGTTTGAACTCGGGTGTCAGACAGATCGGCATCGCCTTGGGGTTCGTAATTGAAACGGAACCTGTCTGAGGTTTATAGTATTTTCATTTTTTCAACAAATATGGGCTGTCGACATAGGCTACATACTATACAATAGAAGTACAACTAAGAGTATCTTACAAGTATCTATTAAAAATATTCTAAGAGGTCTACAATAATGATATTAGGTATTATCAAGGGCGTAGGCAGCTTTTGCCAAAAAGGGGTGCCAAAAAATTTAAATAGTGATCAATAGAAAAATATCTACAAATCCAACTCAGTTCCATTTTAAGGCGAAATAGTACGCCATAATAATGAATGTGTTGTCGACTTCATATGGAGAAAAATTTTTTAGAGGGAGCAACGGCCCCCTCTTCACAAATCACAGTCAGAAATAGTCACAGACGTAATTAGAGAGACCTAAAAATAGTTACCTACAAAATAGGGCATTCGTAGAAGGGAACTTCCACATTCTAACTAATTGAAAAGAACTATGTACATATTATCTGGCTTGAAAGGTCAAGGAATAACGCAAAAAAGTGATAAAACTAACAATTTCAGGGCGTACGTAGAAAAAAAGTTTGCTCTCAGAAATCGACCGCACATTCATTATTTTACGACGTTATTTCGCTTTAAAAAAGATCTGAGTTGGATTTGTTGAAGTTCTTCGGTTGAACATATGCAGAAATTATTATTTTAACGCATCGTGTACTATTATTGAATTAAAATTTTATTTTTTTTGCATCCTCCCCTCTTTTGTGAAAAGCTGCGTAAGCCCTTGTCACAAGAATATACTTATTTGTTAATTAGTATTTATGTACAGCTTTCTCTTCTTCTTCATTTCATTTTCATTCAAATATACTGCACAAACCATTTTGGATTGTCCTTAAGGTTTAAATATTTTGCCATCAGTGCTGAAATAATCTTTGAAAATCCAAACGGATGGATATAGATACACCGATTTTAAAAGTAAATTTTTTCTTTACAGAACGTAACCTAACCTTTGTAAAAGAAGTACTGAGAAGGCCTGGAAAACACCATCAGAGCGAAATAGTTCGAGCAAAGTTCATAAACAGTTTATTGATTTACAGAACACACAATTTATTTAAAATCGAATAAGTCTATATATTATAATAAATACATGAAATGGAGGCTGAAAGACTGAAGACTGGAGGAGTCAATGAATTGAAAGGGGCTATAAAGAGCGAGTGGATAATAGAAATTCCAGAAAATGGTAATGATTTTTCGTTATGTGATGAATTCGATGGAGCTGAGTTGCTAGTAAGGAAGATATTGCGTAAACATATAAAACTAGCAGGTTCGAAGAAGAAGAAGAACTCGCCCGCATCCAACCCGGCAATAATTAGGCCCTTGGCAGACGCTGTTCGCAAAGCATATAAAATCTATCTCGACCACTGTAGCGATGAAAGCGAACCGACTCCAAACTTTGATAGATATACATATAACTCGCTATATCCCAACAGCCCAGCTTTCGCCGGCGCTCTTGAGGAGACGTTTAATCTATGCAAAATGCGAGCCTTGAACATATGTATACAGAAATTGAACAATCAGTTGGGGAATCTAGAGTTTAATTTGCTGGAACCAATAAATCCAACGGAGGAGCCCAACGAACCAACTGATCCCAATCATCTTCACTTCGGCCCATTCCCCGAATAATACCATTCAAAAATGTGACAAAACTACAACACCCACGGAAAGTTTGTATGCCTGTTGACCGATGTAACACACCGATTGAAAAGTACTTTAAAT